CAATATATCCTTAAAAATCTTTAAAATTGACAGTTTAAAAATACGTTATAAAATATATTATTTTCAAAATTTGAAATCCATTTTTTTCTTATGTCCATGTATCTTGATGTCAAGATGATCAATTTGAAGATATTTAGGTATCAAAACAACTTCTTTTAGTGAAATTTTTTAGATAGACTCTAACTTTATTGTTTAGAGCCTCAACTCTATAAAAACTTCTCCGCTGCGGCCTTAGCAAAATAATTAAAGTTTAAATCATCAAAATTTGTAATTTAAGAGTTAAAAAACCCTTAAAAGTTTAAATTAATCATCTCAGCTTGATGGTTGTGAAAAGAAATTAGGATTTTGAGTTCTAAAAATAATGTATAATGTAACAAATCATGAAGACTGTCCATTTCACCTTAAAAATAATAAGTGAATGATTTCAGTATGAGGATTTAAGGTGGTGATGTTTTTATTTTCATAAAACCAATGCCCTATGGAAACTTCAATGGAATAGAAATTCAATAGATTTTTTAAATTTAAGGAAATTTTAGTAGATAGTATTCTTCAGTGTGTCTCACAAAGTTTGAAAAAAAATTAACTTTTGGGTCTTCACAAGGACACTCTTACAAGCATATGATTTAGAATATCACTGATAATGATAATTGTGACCTTCTTAGACCGAAAGTAAAATGGTTTTTTTATATGCGTTTCCTATTATTTATTACTCTAGCTATTTAAAAATAGAAAATGTTTATATAATTTTACAATCTTTAAATGTAGAATTACATATGCACCTCAAAAATCCATTAAAAAATGTTGTTTTAATGTTGAAAAAACCTCTAATTAGTCATTTTCGACATTGAGATGTATGAATATGAAAAAAATAAAGATTTTCAATCCTAAAAATAGTGCATCTTACAATACATTATCTAGACCATCCATTTTCAAGATTTTCATATGTATATGGGTCTACTTGATTTTAACTACTTTTGGAGTTTAAAATTTTATAATTAGATATGAAAATATATTTTGAGATAATCTTAAGAATTTTTTCACCAAAATTACATAATATGATAAAATTTGGATGTACGCCTTAATTGGATTGTTGGTTGCAAACCACATCCTTTAAAAATATCTATTATTCTTCACACTTTAAGCCTTTATCCTATTTTCATGTTTTTTTTTTTTTTTTTCGTAAATGAGCAACTAGAGTTTGACATGATTCCGAATGTGAAGTTTCAAACCGATTTTGTTGGTAATTGTGGCAGTGAGTCTGTGAAGTTTCCACCTAAAAGAAATTTAGTGGGCTTCTATGACGACACATTGTAAACTAGTTCTTTAAATAAATATTTTTAAAACTAAAATCTAAACTTCTGCATTAATCATATACTGAGTTTAAAGTGTTTCCTAATATTTTAGGTAGAAAAATATATTATATTTCTTATTAACTACAGATTTTATTTGAGGGACTACGTTTATGAGTTTTTGAGGGACGAAGTTTATGAGTATACCATGTTTTTTTAACTTCGGCTACAAAAACACAAGCGTGAGATTTTTCAAACATGAAGTTCGAAACTACCCCAATTACAGAAAAATAAATCATTTCATAACTTCAAGTTCATAACTTCAAGTTCTGAATCGATCTCTCAGACAAAAAAAAAGACAAAAGAAAAAACAAAAACCAACCCATATGCAGAATTTTAAGTCCAAAGGTATTTCTAAAAACTATAAAAGTGAAAAAAAGGATATGGGCATAAAAAATAAAAGAAAAAACAAAAAAATAATAAAAATATACCTTTGGACAAAAACCAACCCATATTCTGAATCGATCTCTCAGACAAAAAAAGACAAAAGAAAAAGCAAAAACCAACCCATATTCAGAATTTTAAGTCCAAAGGCATCTCTAAAACTATAAAAGTGAAAAAAGGATATGAGCATAAAAAATAAAAAAAAATATATAATTATTTTATAATACCACATAAATAATATTGCATATTATATGTAAGTTTTGAATTATTACTTTTTAAAAATATTAGATTATACGTTAGTTAGGTACCATGGATTTCAATTATTTGGGTTTTGAGAGGGGGATAGGGCATCATTGGTATCGATTTTCCTTAAAAATTTAACATAATATCTAATTTTCGTAAAAAAATAAATATTATTTAAACCTATTTTTCTTTTACGTTGGTTGGTCAAACGTTTTTTGTAAACAATCATTTACTGTGATTGCTTAGTTTTTAATTAATTTTATATTTCGTTTTACTCCGTAAATTTCATTACCTTTTTCAACTTCATTCCAACATATTGTTGAGATAAGTATTGTTCTTACGATGTAGGATGGGAGTTCCTACTTCTGCGGAAAAATCTTTTTGACTTGATCGTTGATTAGGGAGATAGATTTAGGCTCGAGGACTACTTGGAAAAAAAGAAAAGGTGTGTTTGATTGAAGCCCTATTTTTTAGAGAGAGAAAGACCTATCTTAAAAAAATTATAAAGAAATAAGGGGAAAGGGGTTGGCGTCTTGGTGTGGTTTACCAAAAATAAATAAAAAAATATAAAGAAATAAGAGTCAAAGAGAGAATTCAAGACCCATGCTCATGCATATCTTTCCCTAGTAATATAGATGTTTAACCATAAAATAAGATAATATAAAGTATAAAACAATGAGAGCAATTACATGTTGGACCCGATTTTTGTGCGGCCAAGCCTGCATAGGTAGAAATGCGGGCCTCTTGATAAATCTAATTTTTAGATGGATTTTAGGATTTAATTTTTATGGACATGTAATCCCTATGGACATCGTGAATGTGAAAAAATAAACAAATTTTAAAAACTAGAAATAACAATTCTAGCTTGCATTAGTTTGAACCAATGGTTTAAAAAACGGATCGGTGACCCGGATTGGACTTCTAAAAAACCGATCGGGATCGACGGATCGACGATTCGGATCGAGAATCGGGTGAATCGGTCAGAATAAAGCTTAAAAAAAATCTGAAAAATTATTAAAACTCATTATAAATATTATTTTTTAGGAATTCAATAAGAAATGAGGGTACTCCATTAAGAATTTTCATGTTTTTGAATGAATATGCGAATATTGATATGTTCTTTCCCTGCATGAACCGCCATTAAGCATTTAATTTACATCATACAAAAGGATAAACATATAATTATCATGGAATAAGTATATCAACATAAATGGACTAAAATAAAGCATAAAATTAGTAACATATGATCTAAAAATAAAACGATAGACGACGTTATTGTTCTTCTTGGTCACGCTGGTACCATTGATTGAATTCGTTTAACAATTCATTGATTCGATCTAAAAACGAATCATCGATATTAACAGGCGTCTAACTATTCCCAAATCCCTGAGTATTAGTGTTTTGTTGTGTTCCCAATCTAAAATCCCTGAAGATTGTCCATCATTCATGCTCACTTGCACTGTCGTGCTCATCCCTACACTGTTGCTGTTGGGACTCGATATGTGAATAATATGGCTGGGATAGGGTAGCCTCAGAATCATCTTCTCTCTCATTTTCTCTTTGAATAATATGGATTAAAAAAAAAAAAACAAATTTTCAAAAAAATCGATCATGGATTAAAAAAAAAAATCACAAATTTTCAAAAAATTCTATCATGGATTACAAAAAAAATTCGATCATGGATTAA